AAAAGTTAATTAATAAAAATGACGTAAACAAGTCTAAGTAAGTCTATCATAGCCGTCTCAATATCCTGCAATAAGAGAACGCTTTATTGAGAGAGTCGAAAAGAACGTAATAAAACATATTATAGACTCAATAAAGATGAAAGTGTTCCTAATTAGTCTCAACCTTTATAACACAGATTAATATATCTAAATGTACAATTTTCATCGTGTGTTATAGTGCGTAAATAGTATACTATCGATCTGCCTCCATAATCGACGACTAGTTTAAAAAATGGTGCTGTCCTACTTTAATTTTCTTTTTTAAATGGTGATGCTGGATTTCGCAACGAACTGATCTGCTTTCCATAAGTTTGTCTGAGTGGTGTCAGTGGTTAGGTCATATCTTGTTGGTCTCTACAAAATACTTGGTAATGCCTTGATTTTTTCTAAATACTGTGATTTCAGTAGATTATCTGTTGTAACGTGTGACTGCAGATTAGAGTGAAGCGTATTTATCGATCGATTCAGTGACACGTAAAACACATACGAACGACCTAGAGTCCCGATTGGCCCTGCTTCGCTGTCTAGTCCAGCCAGTTGAGTCCAGAACACAAGTCTCAGCCTCTGAGTTATGAATCTTTATATTCCAGACATACTCTATTTATATACCAATCAACCAGACCACATCGTACCATAAAATATAAAACAACATTTGTACGACATTTGACAAGTGAAATAAATATTGACCAATAGGAAATTTCCATTTAAAGTCCAAGGACACCATTAGACTTAACAGGATAGTTGTTGGGATATTTTTCTGAATATCCCAACAGCCTCTATTTTTTCGATGTAATCCTTTTTGTTCATGAGAACTATACCTCCTCCTTTATCTGGTTTGCTTATGATCAGGGTTTCATATTTTCTTAGTTTCGTTAAAGAGTGCTGCTTGGTTAGTAAGTGATTTGTGTTACCCTTAATATTCTTGATAATTATTGGTATATTTTTCCGAACATCCTAACACTATCCAATTCAGTAATGACGTAGACGTCGATGTTACCAACGGACGGAAAGACAGAACAGATCCACAATGATTCCAAAGAAAATCCCTTCCTCCCATGATCATCTCATACACATACCAGAGGTTTATTGCATCCAATTAACTCGTATCTGGTGGGGGAAATTCAGTGACACTGTTGTACTGTTCGGATTGTTTGCTATATTCCGAATACTGTATATGCCACAAGGGCGGAAATCAATATTCGACTGATATATCGCTAATGTTAGCGAAGCTGCCTGAACTTATATTCTCTTGATCACTTTTCCGTACCTACCTAAAGTCCTATCTGTGGCAACTTTATATTTTGTGTGGTAGAACTCGGTGCCGTGTACAAAATAAAGTGTTACTTGTTGATTTTCTATATAATTCTCTTATTTCAAAACTTTGGTGAAATAATCTATTCTAGAACAAATAAGTACTAGTTTTTCTATGTACATTCACACTTTCACTTCAAATAACCAGCTGCAATTCAGTCACGTACTTTACTGCTTTTTGTCACTTGCAATGTAATCAATATCTAAATGAATTATTTCAAAACGAATTTGACTGAGATCATGGACCAATTAATGCTAGACCAACATGTTTTCAATGACGGTCTAACATTGATGATTTAATGACCTCATTGAAACTCGACAAGCTCCACAATCCTATACTGACAAAACAAAGCGCCCACTCCCACTAGTGTTTATCCCTTTGACATTTGTTACCAATTTCTTATAATTATTCGATTAATATGATGAATCGCCTTTTTGGTGTGTTGTCTCGTTATTATCCATCGTGCTCCAACTCGCTCATTTAGACGTGGTCTTACTGAATTAAACCAGATAAATATTGAAGTAGATATGAGATGGAACGTGGTTAAAAATCCAATGAATATACTAGCCTTATATTACATTGAATCTAAGAAAAAACGATAATATGAACGTCAGTTTCAAGTATCTTTGAAAACAAAGTTCCAAACCACATAGTGTTTACTAATACCGATCGAGAAGACAGTAATTCGAGGCTGAATCAATGTTTTTGATAATTTTCATTGGATATCGCTTCATATTTTACCATCTAACATCAAGACTGAATCTCCCTGAATTATAGAATCAAATGATCGTTTTGCACCATTTTAAAACTATTCTTAACGATTACATCAATCGCAAACAAAATGAGTTTCCGATGTCATGTAGATCACGTGTTGAACATCTGGAGTGAAGGATACAAATATTAGGGAATCAATTAAAAATGTATATAGGCTTATATATTATTCACGTGTAGTTCGAATAGAGGTGGACATAACAAACAAATTATTTCAGATCACAGGGATCATCGAAGAAAAGGCAATTATAAACCTTCACAGTTTAGGCCAGTCAGCTACAACATAGGACCAGGTATATATGCGCATCGGTCCAAGTTGCCATACCTCACTCATTAGCATAACAAGATGAACACCGGATTCATAAAATTAGTTACTTCACTGGTACATACAAAAGAGATTGTGAAAAAGGATATGGTGCAAGAATAAAGCAATTTTAATCTCACGGTTTAAGTGAAGACAAAGAGTGTATACACCTACGCCATGGTAATCGATTCTGAGCCATGTCACACAAAATCTCTAACAGTTTCGTTACGATAGTCACTTGGACCCCAACCAAGTAGTCTGCACCTACCAACATAGCTCAGACTAGAAGTTAGTGGCCGCCCCTAACTTTCTTACAGCCATCTCCAACATTGCACATCGTGGTAATCGGTGTTCAGGCATACGCAACACAAGGCCCGTCCGTCTCAGTCGATGAAGATTCACAACCTCATCAACTGATTTACAATCATTCCCCAATACCCTGTGTCTAACCTTACTATTACTTACCCAGTGATCCCAGAAGATGCAACCAATGTTTCTAAAGTATCTGTGGTCAAATACTAATAGCTTACGAATATCTTCTACTCTTAATAGCCACGTTTCGCAGTCGTAAATTAAAACAGAACGAACTGCTGAGCAGTATACTCAACCCATAGGTGACGTAAGTTGACAAAAGCCAAATGAGCTTTTTGAATCCGTGTAGAGATTTCGTCAGACATCAAAGTATCACGGCTGATCAGACTTTCAGGAATAGTGAAGTTGTCAACGCGTTCGACTACTTCACTCCCTACCCTTAGTTTAGGTGTTGACGTAGGTCAGTTCTGAAGCAACACATTTATCAGAGGGGGGAGATGAATTCCAAACATCCTGACATTGTTGCTCAGTGACACGAAAAGACTGCATTTTATCAGCGTCTTCACCAAACAGGACTATGCAATCCGCACTTAATCAGTTGGCAATCAGTGTCCGTAGGTATGATATGTGTTTTGCACCTCCGAAGTGCAAAGTACTTCTACAAGACTGGCAGGATTCTAATCCTGTACTCACCCTGGATGGTGAGCAGATAGACGTAGTCGAGAAGTTCGTGTATCTGGGTAGTTGCATAAGTGCTGGTGGGGGTGTGAGTGATGAGATCAATGCACGAATAGTGAAAGCCAGAGCGGCTTATGCCAATCTGGGCCACCTTTGGCGCCTTCGTGATGTTAGTCTGGCCGTAAAAGGTCGGATCTACAACGCGTCGGTGAGAGCAGTTTTGCTCTATGCTTGTGAAACCTGGTCACTCAGAGTTGAGGACGTTAGACGACTCTCTGTGTTCGATCATCACTGTCTCCGAAGGATTGCTGACATCCAGTGGCAACACCATGTTAGTAATGCAAAGGTTCGGCATCGTGTGTTCGGACACAAACGCGATAATGCAATTGGTGTCACCATCTTGAAACACCGATTTCGGTGACTTGGACATGTTCTCCGAATGTCGTCCCAGAGAATTCAACGTCGTGCATTATTTGCCGACTCTGGGACTGGTTGGAAGAAGCGGAGAGGTGGTCAGTATATGACATGGTGTCGTGGCATGAAAGAAAGCTGCATAGGGCTGGCTTCTGTTGGTCCTTCACGACTCCCTGGTTGGGGTCCGAGAGATGGTGCTACACAGTGGCTAGAGACGTTATCAGATATGGCTCAGAATAGAAGCCAGTGGCGATCCTGCTGTAACCTTCTTTTACTTTCTTCATAAAAAGTGGTTGTGTCTCCCTTACCTGAAAGATTTCTTCTGATTGTATCTTTCCGTTCCCTCATTTCTACCATACTACCTTACTCCAATCTCTTCGTCATTGTTCTCTTTTTCTTTTGCGTTCCTTAGTTTTTTTTTCTTTCTTCTTTCTACTTCTCTTCGAATTCCCATTGTTTTGTGTGGCGCATATATATTGGCGCTCTATTGTACCAATATTTATGTGTTCAAATAAATAAATAAATAAATGTCATCTGCGTATTCTGAGTCGATAAGTGGACGTCCTGCAAGATCAATGCCTGAAAATTCAGTTAACGAAAATATTATTTCCATCAGTACATCTATGATGAAGTTAAACGAAAATGGAGATAGTGGACAGCCTTAACGGATACCACTTGAGGTTGCAAAAACAGATGACAGTTGGCCATAAGCTCTGACTCGACTGGTAAGTTACTAACTGATCTCAGCTGAATCCCCACAGAAGCCAGGAAGCACTAGATGGCTAGAGACCAGCAGAGTTCAATCAAAGTGAGACAGTTAACCACCGAAAGAAGAAGAGTTGTGCAATATTGCCCATTCAACGGAGTACGACATTAACACTTCTGTGGTCTGAAGGTTTAGCGTTCGCACACGAGAGTGAAGGATTTGGACTCGATTCTCAAATCCGCATTATTGAAGAATACCACATAAAACCAATACAGTTGCCTAGTGCTTCTAGGCTTCCACTGTGGTCTAGCTGAGATCGGTTTGTGATTGAAACCATGAAAATTCTACAATTTCCACAACCCACTTCCTACACCAATAATATATCTGTTCAGCTCACATCGTACTAGGAATACAATTTTGAACTTTGATTATAATAACAACGAAGCGCCAGTTCACTTTTCAACTATCGCTTTGCGGTTTTTTTTCAGTTCAAACAAAACAACAAACATATGCATTTAAGACCGGCTTTCTCGTTATTCAGTTTACCTTCTTGAAAGACATAACGAATATAGGTCATTTAACAATGTAAAATTAAATTATATATCAATTTAGGATTTAAGACTACAGATTGCTGTTGGTGCAAAATTCTTATTTTACATTTGGCAAATATGACCAATTAGATACAGAGATAGGAATGAACTCAAACAGTTGAATCTTACAACAAAAGGTATTAAGTTTGTTTATTTGAAAGAAAAAAAAATAATTTTACAAGTCAATAACGATAATCATAATAATATGGAAAGAATGTTTTACAAAATAACTTATAACTACAAGAATATCACTTAAGGAGTGGAAATGAAGTAAAAAAGGTTATGGTTGCTGTTGTTATTGTTATTATGACTCTCATAGAGAACAAGATTGTTTTATGTAAAGTAGTATTCTTTGATAAAGTGGAAAATTACCAGAAAATACATTTTGATTTGTGAAAGTTGAAAAGAAACACTGAGCATTAAGTAAACTTACCGACAGACAATTGTATCGTCAAGGAACCAGATTTTAAAATAGATCAATGCTGTGTTTCAGACATAGACAATCAGCTTTTTTTTTTTTCAAGAAAGCTAACACATAGGATGTCAGTGTTTAGGGACTACATGAAAAAACAATATAAACTAATAACAATCTTAATATATGTGAATAGCGAGAGAGATTATTGTTATTACTATCATCAGATATCGTGCATCTCTTTGAAAAATAATTCCATTTCTTTCTTTAGTTTTTCATTTTCAGTTCGTTGTTTTAATAATTCAGCTTTGTGAAAAACAAGAAAAAATAAACAAGATTATTTCATGCCTAAACTGAATGTTTATTCATTTAAACACATAAACACTGGTAAAAAGAGGCACCACAGAAATCATTCGATTTATATGAGGGCTGGAATACTGCTTGGGTACTCAAACTGAATGACAAATGTTCAAAGTTGAAGGAACCGCAATAGTCTGGGTAAAACCTGATATGATCGCATTCCGTGAAGAGAATGACACCTTTTAAAATAAACAATATTGAGATGCACACTTCCTGGTTGATAGCTGACAGGTGATTGTACAGGATAGTTGCACAGCAAATATCACAATCTTTTATTCACTTGTCCATAAACAGATTTTACTTTCGATGTACATTTTATTACATACACCATTAATGATTTGACTCATATCTAACAGTGTCAACTGATGCATATTAGTGCCAAACATTCAGTTATACATATAACACGGTTAGATGTTTTTTTTAAACAAGACAAGTACACGAATGAATACCTCATCGCAGAACATTCCAGCACACATTAACAACAATCAAATCGAAAAACCTGGTAGACTTGTTCTCTAATGTTTATTGACCGATCTTGAGAAGTCAGCCCATCTTCTACCACTACGACTACTACTACACAATATAAGGATATGGTAAATTAAAAAAGGTGAAATGAGTGAACCAGATTTGAAAAATTTACCTTTACGCGATTTAATTTGTCGATCGAGTGTAAGAATGTTTCTTTCGGAATTCTCATATGTATCGATTGCCTATAATTTTTAAAAAAATATACACATTAACAAAAAAGTGTCCTATACATTCAATCACATGGAAGTGAGAATTATGAATACTGCTATAATCACTACCATCTTTCAGAAGGGAGAACAAGTTAGTCTTGAGGAGAAAAATCAACTTAAAACACTAAACCATTGTAGTAACTATTATACGCGTCAAAAAGATTTAGTTAATTAAAATAGTAATGTACTGATTACAAACATTGTCATTCATCAGCTACCCTGGTATCTGCGTGATTAGGTCACTAGACAGAATTTAATCCTACTGAAGATCTGTCTAACTAAAAACCACTGATATGCAAGGGCTGAACAAATAAATATCCAGTGATATATTAGCTCAGTAATTTCAAAAGTCAGCTTTTAAAAACTCGAATATACAAACCAGTTTTGGTAGCTGTTTAAAAGTATCACAAGATCATACAAAGTATGGTCCGAATTCACGGAACTGTATTAGGTGTATGAGTTACTAGGCTCGAAATCACACTGCTTATTTAAGGGATAGTGGACTTATACTAGTGTCCAGGCTGAAAAAAGGTTACATCAGTCCATTTACAACAAGATGTTTGGTGACCACTGAATAATAAATAGGCCTGATCCATAAAATGACATAGTTACAGTCCATATGGATACTCCAAAACAAACGTCAGACCTACACACTTATATACCGGTACGAGAATACTTACTTCTAAGCGACAAATTGAGAACAAATATGTAGTACTTCGATGGAATCTTGAATACATGTCTTTCAGATACAGAATACATCGATGTCAAGACTTCCCAAGGATATAGTCAAACTTATATTTTATTCTATCTGCATTAGTATGCGAGCGTTAAACGAGGCCACTTTGAGTGACAAACACGGTTTTATAAGAGCTGTATCAGGAATCGCATTCGGTGAAAGTATTCTCAAATTCGGTCAGTCAGTAACTTAAGTGGTGAGACTATAATTTATGGACAACCTTTGAGCGACGCTAAAGTGACCTTGTGAGCGTCCACCTAATAACTAGGACAAAATGAGGGTTATAAACCTGTGTGAGGACTTCAAATTGTGATTTATAGTTGGAATTTAAGGTTAGGAACAATATTCAGGGCTTTTATCACGAACTGACACCAACTATAATATCAAAAGTCTATTTTGCCAAATTGATGAACGAATTTCGCGCCAAAATCCGAGACCTGTTATCCCATACCTGATTGGTTCGTTCATAAATTATAGTCTCGCCACTCAAGTTTATTTAGACAGAAAACAAATTCCACCACATACGAGGTGCTGTGTGTTGGAAAATAAACGTAAACACGGGGCTGGGACTAGAAGGAATAGAAGTGTGGCATAAGATCAAATGAAAACACTTGAATTAAACAGGTAATATTTATCTTTTGAGATTGTAATGAAGCAGAACAAGTGGATCAATTCCTTCAAAATTATTTGTCATATTTACGGATGTCACGTGGACACGGTTAATGGATGAGAAAGATCCATCTAAAGGAATTGGAAAATTAAAATTCCAAATCAGTAGAGTGCGTGGGTTGCAGAATCCTATGGAAGCGAATGGTATATGAACCCATTTGAATCACTACCTACAATCCAACCGAGACGTCAGACACCATTTCACTACTTTGTGAACTAAACCTTTGGGTTAGGGGAGTTGATCCTGAAGAGAATCACCACGTTCGGTCTGAGTGCATGAGCATTATTCAACTCTCTTGACAAACATGATATAAATAACAGTAAATAAAACACAATAATCAGAAGAATACAGTGTCACATTTACACATGTATTAATCATCGTTAGAGTAAATAACTAATAATGAACTGGATATAGCCAGTATGTAAATTGAAATTAAACACCAATGAACTGCTATTTTATCCTAGCTAACTCGTTCCTTCGGACTTCAAATCCGAAGTTCTACAGATGTTCAGAATCTGGAACTTTTAAGTTCCATGAATAGAACACAAAATCATCAGTGAAGTATCTAGAAATCGATACACCAGTATAAAATCATTCCTAAAAACCGTAAAATAAATAGTTCCACTATATGTGAGAAATGCAAAAGGATTCTGAAAACCTACGAAATAAAAGTCATTCACAAAATCAATCGGAAATTGACTCTTCTTTCCATAATATCACCTCCCCTTCTTTTTTTGAAGACTCTATGCTGAGATCCATCTTTAAATTTTATGACTTCATCCTCCCCGCCACGAAATAACGTTGGATCATCATATTCCCAAGTTACAGTTACTTTGACTCTATTTAAAGCATATTCCTCGCATTATGTAGAGACTCCACTAGAACTGACTAGATGGTGAGGATCAGCGACATTAGATATGAGGTCATCAAAGTTTGATTTTTCTGGAACATTGTCATCGAATTTCTTGACAATCTCATTAATAGATAGTCGATCACCAGAATAACCAGTATCTATCAAAATTTTATTAGGTTCTTGATCATCGTTTGATGACTCCAAAAATTTTCATTTTTGTAAGAAATTTGATCAAAAGCTTATGAGTCTTTGAGATAACTCATATCTGGTAAAACAACTAGAGAACCCCAATAAGTACATTCATTAGAAACGGTTGTCGTAGAATGATGAGCTCCATTCAATGCAACTGTCCTCATTACGATGCTTGATTCATTTTCCGTTTTTTTTGTGGGCGGGTACTGCAATAATTTCATGAGCATTTAATAACACATCGTCTTTCTGTGAGCTGGACAGTCCAGTGTTTGTAGTGTTTCGGGGACAATGGGATTTGAGCCCATGACAAGGCATGTCTCTGAAATGGACATTTCTGGATCACTGGGCGCATCATGGATGACTGCCACTAATTCGTTTACATTACCGCTTACCAGGGAATCACGGGTTTTATTGACACGTTCATACGTTATGTAGTCATTTTCCAGCTCTGTATGGAAATTAGAAATTAATTTATCAAACTGTCACATCTCCAAAACATGGATGATCTAGCAGCCATGTGCATAAAATGTCTAAAACATTCAACTGGCTCTTTTTGAAAGGCTGCTATTGTCGCTCAAATAGCAACTGTAATTGATCGGAAAAGATAGCCATTTTCTGAATCAGCACGGTAATGAAAAATACTGTATGACTAATTAACAATCAATGTCGTTGAAGGACACCGGCGAGAATTTCGAATGCTGATTCCTTGAAATAATTACATTGAATTTTGTCCAATTACGGGCTGACCTTGATTCGTTAATTTGAAGATTGAAAGTTCAGAATTTTTTTCACCCCGTCGCCAAATGTTATAACTGTCGTTTGAATGCTTATTGTCTTGGCTCTTTTAATGCTACTTTTTGTATCTGGTCGTCGCTGATTGTTATGTCGGAAACGCTTATCACTTATACTCGAAACGAGGGACCTCTACAATTCCCAACGACCATCCTCTCAATCTCCCAAGTTATGGATACTATGTTAAAAGATATTCCTGGAACTGCGGGCTATCTCGATGACATACTGATCATAAGTACAGACTATGCTGACTTAGAGAATAAGGTGGATACAGTTCTCAGACGCATAGCAGATTATGGGTTCAGATCGCGTGCTGAAAAATGTGATTTGTACATGGAGCAAGTCAGCTAGTTAGGATTCATAATCGATAAAAACGGAAGAAAACGTGATCCTGAAAAAGTCAAAGCTATCAAGTCTATGCCTTCACCGACGGATGTACCAACTTTACGTTCTTTCTTGGGAATGGTTAGTTATTATGGAGTTTTTCTTCCAGATCTGTATCGCCTTCGTGCTCCTCTTAATTGCTTACCAAGTGGTTCTGGTCAACCGAATGCCAGGAAGTATTCCTAAAACTAAAGCAGCTCCTATAATCAAACCTTCTACTTACACACTATGATCCAGATCTTCCAATTATATTCGCAGCAGATGCGTCGAACTACGGAATCGGAGCAGTAATTTCACATACCTACCCTGACGGCTCTGAGAAGGCAATCGCCCACACTGCAAGGTCGCTGACTATGACTGAAAGGAACTACAGTCAGATACAGAATGAAGCCTCCTCCATTATATTTGCTGTGAAAAAGTCCCGCAAGATGCTGTTTGGCAGACAGTTCACCTTACAGACCATAAACCCCTACTGACAGTTTTTGAATCCAAAAAAGGTATCCCTGTATATACAGCAAACAGGCTGCAGCGATGGGCAACTACACTGCTGGGCTATGATTTCAAGATAAAGTATCAACCAACAACGGATTTTGGACAGACAGATGCCCTATCAAGATTGTTTGGTTCGCATGCAAAACAAGAAGAGGAGGTGCTTGTAGCTGCCATAGATGTCGAGGCTGAGGTTCACAAAGTATTGGCAGACGCAGTTTCCGGACTCCCGGTCACATTCGAAGCCATTAAAGAAGCTAGCAAGAAGGATAATGCATTGAAGATTGTTCGCTACTGCATACTCAACAAGTGGCCTTCATCTAGACTACATGGAGAGCTCTTACAATATTTTCGTCGACGAGTCCTTAACAGTTGTCGATTCGTGCATCATGTTTGGCCACCGTATTGTTATCCCCAGAAATCTCCGATATCAAGTCACAAAGTAGTTTCACAGAGGGCACCTGGGGACAAGTAAAATGAAATCACTAGCTCATAGCTATGCATACTGGCCGTCAATGGACTATGATATAGAACAATAATGTCGCAGTTGTTGGTCCTGTCCAGGGGCTGCGAGGAATTCAAAGCTGAACCACAACCATGGCCAAAACCAGACGGGCCTTGGCAAAGAATACACGCTGATTCCACAGGACCAATACAAGGCAGAAATTACTTAGTTGTTGTCGATGCTTCCAAAAAATGGCCAGAAGTATATGACGTGCTGAAAACGACATCAGAGAGTACAATAAGAAGATTGTCAAAATTGATTGCTTGTTTCGGGGTTCCGGAGATCTTAGTGACCGACAACGGTACTCAGTTTATGCCATCCGCTTTCAAACGCTTTTGCAGTGAAAATGGCA